GGCCAGCTGCAGCGCGAACAGCGCGCGCACTGTGAACGCGTCCTCGCACGACGCGCGCCACGGCTCCACCAGCCACACGTCTATGTACTTCAAGTGGGCGGATTTACTGGAAACATTTACAAGTATACAAAGATGTGGCGCCATAAGTCAAAAAAAGGCGCCATGAACATAAAAAGGGGCGCCATGGATGCATAAATGGGCGCCATAAACTTATAAAAGGGCGCCATGAACACAAAAGGTGCCATAAATTTATAAAAGGGCAGCATAATCGTATAAAAGGGCGTCAGATGTAAAATGGCGCCATAAACTTATAAAAAGGCGCCATACATGCATACGGGCGCTAAAGGCAAAAAAGACGCCTTTTTTCATATGACTGTATTGCATTAGAGGGTACCGTTTATTAAAAAAAGTAGCCTACGTTACCCGATAGTTACATAGCTATTCATTGCTGCAAGAATTTTTAAAATCGGCCTAACAGTTTTTAAGTTATTTCGATATATACAAAAATACAAATCATTCGTCTTTATATCATTAGTATAGACTAGCTCTTGCTCGCGATTTTGTCCACGTGAAATTATAATAAAAAATAAATCCTACGTTACTGAGCGATAACGTAGCTTTTAAATGGTGCAAGAATTATTAAAAGTAGTTTTTGAGTTTTCAATACATACAAAAATACAAATCTTTCAACGTTATAATATAGAATTATAGTTTACCGTTCAACAGCCTTCATATCCAGCATATGGAAGTGTCGGCAGAGACAAACATTCTTGCCCACACAGAGAACATCGCGTACTATCCTTGTGTACTCCGCCGCGGAGGGGCGCTGCGCCCCGCGCCACGGGAACACCTGCTCACCCCCTTCCAGCTCGAACTCACACGTCTTGTATGGAGACTGCGGACTGAAGAATATTTTGGTTAATATTTTGGTCGCTGGAGCGACAGACTGCAAATATGTAAAAAAAAACCCGCATGCCAAGTGTTAAAAGGAGACGCACATAAAGTGGATATTTCCCCTTCCCCTCCTTTTTTTTTATAAGAAAATGGTAAAAAGGGAAAATAAACTATATTGAATCCTCCAGCACACTCGTCAGATTGTACGTGGAATTGCTCTCACTTGTGTTGGCTTTGTATTGGTGGCAGCAGACGACATTATACTGTCATCTCGCTTACTCTCAAAAGAAGTATGTGCATGCGTTATTGCCTGTCTCGCTCACTCTCAGAAAAAGTGTACGTGCGTGTGTTTCTATCTCACTCTGTGATGAATTTTGTGTGGCGTGTTACTGTCTCGCTCGCTCTGTGTGCGTGTGTGTCTCGCTCACTCTCTAAAGAAGTCAGTGCGGGGATGGTCGTCCCTGAAGCCGAGCAGCACGGTGTCGGGCTTCATGGCGCCGAGCCCCGCCAGGCGCGCCAGCTGCGCCGCGCCCTCGCGCACACTCCGCGCTAGGCATAGCTCTACGAACGCTTTCACCTACAAAAGTACAAAAATACATTATATAGACGTGACAGTAGCCAGGAATCAAAACTTTAACATTATCTAAGAAAATTCGTCGAGTTATCAATAAATAGACCAAAGAGTCACTATATGTCGTCTATTTTACTAACCTTATTATTATAAATGCGAAAGTTTGAATGGATGTTAGAGTTTATAGCCTAAACGGAACGGATCTTGATGAAATTTGGCATAAATGTAGAACAGTCTGCAAGAACACGTAAGATACTAAATTTTTTTTTAATTCTAAGTGGACGGAATCACGGGCGAAAACTAGTATAAAATATAAAAAGAGCAAAAAAAAAATTTTACACCGTACATTCTCTGAAATGTACTGTCAGTTGTTAAGTTTAGTGTTGTTTCCTGTCTTTGTATTGAAATAAAATGCTAGCTTTCGCCCGCGACTCCGTCCGTGTGGAATTAAAAAAAATGCCTATGTGTTCTTCCAGACTATCCTCTACATCTATGCCAAATTTCATCCAGATCTGGTTAGGCTACAAATTTTAACAAACATCCATACATCTAAACTTTCGCTTTTACATTAGTAAGATTAGTTAGACAGCGAGATTCTAATTTGGTCGGATTGTAAAGTCTACTTCACTGTCTATTGTCGATATTTCCCTTACCTTCAAGTGGTCTATCAACTTGAGCCAGTACTTGTGCTCCTCAGCCAGCGGGTCCCCGCTGCCGTCCAGCTCGCCCACACGCACGTGCCCGACTACGAACAAACCGCCCTGAAAACATAACAAATTATTTTCAGTGGTCCTAATTGACCTTGAGTGGTCCAAATTAATCCTAAGTGGTCTAAATGGAAAAAATGTAACAAAAAATTATCGAATGTAATAAAATTATGAAAAATAATAACAAAATTATTAGGAAATTATAATCTTAGTAATCTAAACTAGTTTTATCCCGTGACACCTTACGCAAGGAATTAAAAAAAGCAAAATTGAGTAGCTTATGAGTCATTCCAGACTATACATCTATGACAATCTTCGAAATCTCTAGTAAGGAACTCTAACAAACATCCATCCATCTAAACTATTGCATTTATAATATTAGTAAAAAGTAATATATGAAAGTTTAGATGGATGGATGTTTGTTATAAGATATCTCTAAACGGTTAAAGGATGATCATCTAGAATAACAAGTTATTTAATGAATTACTATTGTTTTTTTACAATATAAGATGGCAAACGAGCAAGCGGCCTGAATCCATCGAAATGGAAAGCGACCGCTGCTCATAGACATCCGCAATTGCAGATACGGACGCACAGAAGGGTACATTTCCCCTTCTTATGCGTCTCTTCACCGTCAAATTCACTTTTCCTTCCTATCCTTTCCTCTTAAGAAAAAGGTGGAAAGGAAAGGGACTAAAATTAGGCACCACACTCATCAGACTGTAGGCGGAATTGCTTCCACTTCACGCCTGTCATCGTTCACGATGTTAAAGCGGGCTCTACCACTGTAAAAAAGTTAGTGTATGTCATCTGGTAGTTTACCTTCTTCTGGTCGTTAACGAAGTCGATGAGCGGCGCAGCATGTCGCGGCGAGCTGACCAGCAGCAGCATCTGCGGCCGCCAGAACTTCACGTGCTCGCGGCGAGGGTCCAACAGCAGCAGGTACTTACGCACCTACAACAATACCAATTATATTTATTTGAAACTAGCTGTTCCCATCGGCTTCATCCACATGAAATTATGAATATTCTATATTGTCATGTTTACATTTGTCAAATTATCAATAGCAAATGTCAAAATGATATGACATGATGACAACCTTACTTGTTTGATGTTGGCAGCAACTTATGGTCTCTTTTCTACATTAGGATTTTTATCCAAATAATTTACCCCCTAAGTTTAATGGCGTGAAAATATATATCCTAAAGCGTGACGTAAGTGTAGGGCTTTTTATTAAAAAAAGTATTATTCAAAAATATGCTGTAATTGCTGACATCTTAGGCAACAAAGACGTGTGTGTTTACGCTTTATTATAATAGTATAGATACTAAATTGATTAGATAAATTTAGGTTTTTTTAGTACATAGGCATGTATTTATGGATTATACCCAACCGTCGCTTTGTCCCTACGTGGGGACAGATTATAAAAAAAAACATTCGTCCCACCTTCTGCGACGAAGGGACGGTTGGAATTTATTTTATTTCATAACGATGTCACCTGTCACCTTATTGGTGATAGACTACATGGTGGGACTGACAAAACTTTTTAGTCTCACGTGGGGACAGAGAGGGGTGACGGTTGGGAATAATCAGTATTTATTAATTCCTGTAAGTGTAAGAAAAACTACATTGATTCGATTAATTTCCTTTTTAGTATCTAGGCATTATAAATTTAATTGATTGAAAAGCAAAATGGTATCTTATTTATTAAAAAAGTGTATAATTAGGTACATAAATCTATTAATATAATAAGATATTAGCAAATATAGAATAGATAAATTTAATAAAAAACCCTAACACTTACGACACGCTATACGCTGATATTATGGTATCATTTAAGGGGTTAATAAATTGGAAAAAAAAATATGTTCAATTCCTGTTTTACGTAATATAAACAATAGTATCATACTAATTACATTACACTAGTTACACAAATATTATAAATATGAAAGTTTAGATGGATGGATGGATGAATGGATGGATGGATGAATGGATGGATAAATGGATGGATGGATGGATGAATGGATGGATGGATGAATGGATGGATAAATGGATGGATGGATGAATGGATGGATGGATGAATGGATGGATGGATGGATGAATGGATGGATGGGTGGATGGATGGGTGGATGGATGGATGGATGGATGGATGGATGTTAGAGTTTGCAGCCTAAACGGCTGAACGGATTGCGATAAAATTTGGTACAGATATAGAGAATAGTCTGGAAGAACACATAGGCTACTTACTTTGGTTTTTTATTCCACGCGGACGGAGTCGCTAGCGAAATGCAGTCGAAGTAAACTCCCCAGTGTACTTGCCAGCCGGGATGAAGAGTTTTTTTTTATAAGAGGTGGCAAACGAGCAAGCGGCCACCTGAATCCACCGAAATGGAAAGCGACCGCTGCCCATAGACATCCCAAAAGCATATATGTTGCCTACCTTTCATTGACGGAGGAGGCGACGCACATAAAGAGGATATTTCAACTTTCTATGTGTCTCCTCCACCGTCAAATCCACTTTTCCTTCCCACCTTCTCCTCTTAAAAAAAGGTGGAAAGGGACTAAAATTAGGCCTCCGGCACCACACTCATCAGACTGTACGCGGAATTGCTTCCACTTCACGCCTGTTTTCTGTGTGGTCGTGGTATTGCATCGGGAGAGCCGACCCTACAGTTCGATGATGTTAAAGCGGGCTCCACCACTGTTAAATAAAAGGGCTACCTGATGGAATATAAGCGCCTGACTGAGACTGCCCCAGTTGGGGTCGGCAGCGGCCGGGGACAGCAGATGCAGCGCCAGCACCAGCGCGGTGCAGGCCAGCGCGGCGGCCGCGGCGTACGCCGGCCGCAGCGCGAACACCAGCGCCGCGCTGCCGCACACGCCCAGCGCCGCGGACACCCACGAGAAGTATTTAAACGACGGCCTGTATTCAATACCGAATATTCATGTATTTCTTCTTTTTTTAAACGAATTAATAGAAAACTACCTATCTCTTACAGTGCTTATAACAAATGTATAACTAGCTTTAGCCCGCGACTCCATCCTCGTGGAATTAAAAAAATTAAAGCAAGTAGCTGTCTTCCAGACTATCCTCTACATGTATAACAATCATCGAGATCAGCAGTTTATGCCACAAATTCTAACAAACATCTATCTAAACTTTTATATATTTAAGATATATTACCTGAAATTAGGAGCCGAAGCTAGATCCAGACCGAGACAGGCCAAGTTAATTGCAAAATAACTCATTATGAACAGCACTGAATTCACCTGAAAAAAAAAACCATAAAATAAGTGAAACATATTTTTTTTACCAAAAATATTTTTTTTTAAATAATTGTACACTAACTTGAGCGATGGCATTCAATGACCCCGCCATGATGCCAATTTGCACCAACAGCCAGGATGTCATCACTGCCACCACGGGGTTGCCATTGCGTGACACCATCGGCCGGAGGAGAAAACCTTTAAGAAGATATTATGTAAAACCAAGAAATCTTAGTTCAGAAAAAAATAACCAATATTACTCCCACATACAACAAATTACTAATAAAATCAGCCCTGTCACGTTAAAAAATATATATGAAAACTGGCTTTTGCCCCAATTCCGTCCGCGCTAAATAAAAATAATTAAAAAAACAGTAACCTATGTGTTCTTACAGACTACATTCTAAATCTGTATCAAATTTGATCAAAATTCGTTGATACGTAGTAACATCCATCCAAACTCTCACTTTTACTAGATTTTGACCACGACTCCGGGCTGAATAAAAAAAAAATTTTAACCTATGTGTTCTTCCAGACTATTTACATCTATGACATTCATCGAGATCCGTTCAGCAGTTTACAAACTAACAAACATCCATCTAAACTTTTGCATTTATAATACAGAAGAACCGATAACTCAAACCTAGGTAACATAAAAACCTCTATAACTTCAAAAAATAACACGTTCCCTTCCCATCATAGCCCAAAACCTTATTTTTCTTATTATGTAAGATGGCAAACGAGCAAGCAGCCACCTGAATCTACCGTAATGGAAAGCGACCGCTGCCCATAAACATCCGCAAATGCAGATGCGTTGCCTACCCTTATTGACGGAGGAGGAGACGCACATAAAGATGACAATTCCCCTTCAATACGTCTCCTCCACCGTCAAATCCACTTTTCCTTTCAATTCTTTCCTCTTAAGAAAAGGGTGGAAAGGAAAAGGGACTAAAATTATGCCTCCGGCACCACTCATCAGGCGAAACACGGAATTGCTTCCACTTCACGCCTGTCTGTGGTCGTGGTATTACTGGGGGCGAGCCCTGCACTGCTAACATGTTAAAGCGGGCTCTACCACTGTTAAACTCTATCAATTAACCTCTAAAACATAGACCCTTGATAACTTAAAACCTCTATAACTTAAAATATTTTGTGTTTCCCTTGGACTTTAACTTATTGAGGTTCTACTGTAATCGATTATAGTAATACATATTTTATAACTTACCATATATGTCATCTTTAGCCAAAGCTTCCAACACTCTAGAAGCGCCAATCAAGTTTGACAGACCAGCGGAAAATGTTGCCAGCAACATACCTTTAAATAAATAATAGTTTGCGGTAAAACATTTTCTTATAAATCTATATAACCAATCGATTCCTTTTTAACATCAATTCATAACATGCGTATAGGACTTAGTTATTTTTCGGCGTGAAATGTAAAAATAATAATAAGGAAATTAAAAATATAGCCTATGTTACTCACAGCCAAATAACCTTTCTAACGGTGAAAGAATTTTTAAAATCGGTCAAATAGTTTTTGAGTTTATTTATTACAAACAAACAAAGTTTTCCCATTTTATAATATTAGTATAGAAGTATAGATTATTTCACCATAACAATAATTAAATTAACGCTTGAACATTCCACCAAATTCAAACGTAATCGAAAAGTTGCAAATGTCAGAAAAATCGCGAGATATAGATATCCAATGGTCTGTGTCTACCCCTCTAAGTTACACGCCTTATGTTATGTATATGTTTGTAATAACTTACCAACAGCAATAAACGGCGGCCATACATTAATAGGCAGTAAATATACGTAGTTATTCTGCAGCAGTTCCCTGGAGCAGGTGGCAGCGGACAGCAGGGTGAGCGCAGTATAGCAGAGGGCAGTAAACAATAACGCCCACAGCGTGCCCGCTGGTATACTGCGTGACGGTTGTTTCAACTCTCCTATATCATAAAATACTATAAAATAACTGTAAGCAGTGATGATCAATTTTTTTTTATAACATAAGGTGGCAAACGAGCAAGCGGCTACCTAAAACCGCCAAAATGGCGACCGCTGCCCATAGACATCCGCAATTGCAGATGCGTTGCCTACCCTTATACGACGGAGGAGGAGACGCACATAAAGAGAATATTACCCCTTCCTATGCATCTCCTCCACCGTCAAATCCACTTCCCCTTCCCATCCTGTCCTTATAAGAAAAGGGTGGTAAAGAGAAAGGGACTTAAATTAGGCCTCCGGCACCACACTAATCAGACGAAACACGGAATTGCTTCCATTTCACGCCTGTCTTCTGTGTGGTCGTGGTATTACTGGGGGCGAGCCCTGTAGTGCTAAGATGTTAAAGCAGCCACTACCACTGTTAATTTTTTACTACAAATTTACTTTACTAATTGTACTCTAAAATGTATTTTAGTAGCTAAACTTGCAAAATCATGCATTGCATCAACATGAGATCATATATTTCTACTCAAAAGCCATAGACTAAACAAAAATTTAGACAGAAATTATAAAATTCTACTCTATAGTTTATTACAGTAACCAGAAAGCATTAAATTCCAAAGTTTACGATATTAATCAGGGATTATCAAATCCACTCTAAACATGACCTAGACTATTCTCAAATAGACAAAGAAAATAAAAAAATCTACCTAAAGTTTTTTTTATGTCACAGTAATCATTAAATCATTACTAAAGTAACTATAAGTACCGCATAACACCTTAAAATAAGTGGTACTTGGGTAAGCCTGCTTCTATGTCTTATCTAACTTACACTAGTTATTCCATATAAATAAGCTCTCACCGCTCATATTAGCTCCCGCCATCACCCCAGTCACACCAGTGAACAGCACTCCGAAGACGGAGGCGAAGTTGACCTGGTCTCCGGTGCTGGTGCTGTAGTCCCGGCCGTATGAGGGGTACACATTGCTGTACAGCGTCTCCTTAGATAAACCGGTGTAGTGGAATGATGTGGTGTTCACCAGCTCGTTGGTATCAGGCTTATCTATCTGGAATTGGGGAATTCTATCATCTTAGTGATCCGAACCTAAGTAAGGTGACTTGGCCATAGTAAACGCCTAATGCTAATTGATATAATTTTGAAATTTTCTCAGATATGTATAGATATTAAGATGTTTTTCTTTACCATAGGAACATCGGATGAATGTAATTAAAAAAAAAATAAGTGGCACAAACGGAATTTCAATCTTTCATGGTCAATAAGACAATGTCTAAGGAAATTTCTAGAAAATCTACACTAAAAGGCTATTTAAGTAACTATAAGTATAATTAGAAGTATGCAAGTCTATTTTAAAATTAACTTCTAACTTTTGAGCATTTAAGGAAGCCTTTCTCTTTCCTTTCATTTTCTCTACCTGACAAAATCTTCTATTCATCCTCTTCTCTGTTTATTAACCTATTCTAAAAGTCTCCTAGTTAAGAAGCTAAAGCAACCCTGATTGATAAAGTAATTCTTAGCCATCAACAGTTCCCCTACCTTATCCTGCTACCGTAGGGTAGATTCACCGAGTTTTCGTCCTCCAAATATCCCTATCATCTCTTATCTCAGTCACTCTCTTCTTGATCATGTCACCTTTCAATCCATCCATCTCTTTCTATGTCTACCTCTACCGGTACCCATAGTTATAGTTATTCTTAGTGGGCCATAAATTCTTATTCTATTCCACTATGCTATGTTCACACTTACCATACCAGGGCTGGTAACAAAGAAGCTGATGAAAGCACTAGCAAGACACACGAGGACTGTCAGCCAGATGGCGAGGCTGGTGCGTGCGAACAATGATGCACCAGCCAGGGACACAGCCAGACCTAGCGCGTTCAGCACTGAACGGTACAGGAAACTGAACCACCAGCTGGTCGGAAGACCACTACTAGATCCGATCAAATATCCTATAAAATAAAAAAACTTGTTCAAATTCCCCTTTGGGCAGGGGACTGGTGTCCAAACTAGGGTACCCTGATAAATATTGAAAAACAATAAAGACGACTGAATCAAACAGTTATGAAAAGTTTGATACGAAATTTTAAAATAAAACATGAATAGAATCGTTAAGATAGGTTGTTCTGTCAGAAAATTTAAAAAACTAATTTTGAGATAAAAATGGCATTTTATGACAAAATGACACAAGGACTGACACGGGGGCGTTATGTGAAATAAATTATGCGAGCACACTAGCGCCATTGGGGAAGGCCTGTCTCCAACAATGGGCAAAGGCTGATGATACCACCGCCATCGTTCTGACATCAAAAAATTGTCACAAGATTATTTTCTGTCATGTCATGTTTTTATGCCATTTTCTATGTTTTATATTTTCCGTCTGAATTATGGCAACCCCTTTAACAGGCCAGACAACATTGTGTTACTTTATACAAAAACTTGTATATTGTTTTAAAATAATCAATACTTTGAACATTAATGTCATCAACTCACCGTTAGCTCCAAAATTTTCAACCAAGGCTTCAGTACAAGCAGATATGCACAACGCACTCGACACAACGTTTGCAAAAAAGAACAACGTACCAATCGCACCACCGAATTCTGGACCTAATGTCCTACTGATCATGACTGATTTTCCGTTAATTCATTATTGTAATACATTTTTTTTTATAATATCTTTAGATTTGCACCGAAACTCCACTGCGTGGAATTAAAAAATTGTAGCCTATGTGGTCAGGATATTTTCCTAAATTATTTTGGTTTGAGATTTTCATACTCCATATTAAACCCGCTACACACGATACTTTATCTGAATAGTCAGATGCTTCAGATTCTATTAGATAAATCTGAGCATGTTTTTTTTTTTAATATAAGGTGGCAAACGAGCAAGCGGCCACTGAATCCGCCAAAATGGCGAAGCAACCGCTGCCCGCCGCAACTGCAGACGTTGCCCACCCTTATCCGTCAGAGGAGACGCACATAAAGAGGATATCTCCCCTCCATATGCATCTCCTCCTCCGTCAAATCCATTTCCCCTTCCCATCCATGTATGGCTTAAACTATCTGTACTGTGCTAAATGAAGTCCCATAATTTAAGCATTCTAGAATAAGAGAATAAAATTTGTTTTATTTACAAAAGGATACAATATACACCTCCTCCTTTCACTGCTCCGTTGGTGGATATCGCACATATGGAAGTAACTGTGAAGATTACTATAAGATATGCCAGAGCAAACTGTCCTAATGTCACTAGTAGACCTGCATTCCCCACTAGGTAACCTAAAAAGAATAATAAAACCGTTTTCCACTACAATTTGATGCATGATATTGCTTGGCATGGCTAGTAGAAGAAATATAACCAACATTTATACTTATCTTATTAAGATTTGCATTTTTGTATGTAATGAAAGCTATAAAAACTATTAGTCCGATTAAAAAAACTCTTTACTATTATAAAATTACATTGACATTGAGTTCAGTATATTTAAGAGTAGATAATAACAAAGTAAATAAGTCAACAAATGAACCACAAATATTACATTTGTTGAATTAAATTAACTACTACAATGTATATTATCTATTGAAAACCACACAAAAATGTCTTAATATGCACTACATAAAACATTTAAGAAGTTATAATCTACAATTAAGGCTATCGGTCAAAATTATCTTCATTCAGGACCTGTCCCACTACTGGCTGATAGAGGCTCAGATAGCTTACAAAATTTACATATTTGTTATCTGACAATTTATAATATGGTGGGACAGGTCCTAAGTCTTAAATGATTAGTTAAAAGATTATTCAAGCATCAGATTTCATAGTAAATCTATAACTAATTTCCTACATTAGTGACTACTCTAAAAGTGATTACAAACTCACCCATCCTTATGAAGACTAAAGCACTGAACATAGACAGCACAACAGGACAGAAAACACCAGCAAATGTGCCCACCTTCTTAACTCCTGATGCTTCAGTCCTGAATTCACCAAATTCCACATACCCTGGAATATAGAAATAAATCATAAGAACAGATTGAAGATATATTATAACTCAACTAAACAAAACACAATTTTAAATACTTAATTATAGAACAAAACATATGTTTCCCGTTGAGCTAACCAACCAACCATTCAATTGGCAATGGGAATATTTCCCATTAGGCCGATAAAATCACAAACCAATTGGACAATAATGTACAAATTTCCCATTGAGCTGATAAACAGGTTGATAGTACCTTATCTATAGTAATATTATAAAGAGGAGAGATTTGTATTTTTGTATATATTAAAATAACTCGAAAACTACTGCACGTATTTCAAAAATTCTTTCACAATTAGAAAGCTTTTTTATCAACGAGTAATATAGGCTACTTCTTTAGTATTTTTTAAATTAGATGCAGGCGAAGTCGCGAGAAACAGCTAGTCTTCTATATTAAGAAATACCTCAAAATCTACTGAGCCGATTTCACCATTTATTGCACCATTAGAAAGCTATGTATCACTGAGTAACATAGGCTATATTTTACACGTGAACGAAGTCGCGAGCAACAGCCAGTATTACATAAAATAACCAACCTATAGACTTCTCAGCCATGACTGTATTTAATCGCTGTCAAGTCCATACTGATTGTAATTGAGTGCAACGCTTCAAAGACCTTGAAATGCAATTATTGCTGTTATTGTGTCAAGTTCAAGATAACATACATAATAATAAACAAAACTAACATTTGCCCGCGATTTAGTATACGCAGAATGACATCTGTGCCAAATTTCATCAAGATCTGTAAAGTACTTATGGAGATACGTAGTAACTTACATCCATCCATCCAAACTTTTTCATTTATAATATTAGTATGATATTATGGACATGACATGACACTTGTACTAAATATTGTTAAGTCTTTCATTGAGAAGTCATAGTGTGTCATTACTCATAGCGATTTATGACGTCATAGTTCTTACTAGACATGTAATTGCATACATGTATGAAACTCAAAATTTATGAGGGCTTATGGCTACTTGTGAATATGACGTCACAGGTCACACACTTATTTCAGGTGGAGAATAGCGCGCGAAGGGTACATCCTTCCCTGTCTACTTTAACACCCCCACTTTTTGTGTTGTGCACTGATTATATGAAAATATAGAGATTCTATCAACTTTGAATAGTGTTTCAACATGTTTTAATAAAAAACATTTATTTAAAGACTAAATTCTTAATATTGTTGTTCAAATCTCACCTTCTCCTGGAGGTCTTGGAGGAGGTGATCTGCCGAACCTCATTCTGAGTTTGTGCATGATCCCCGGCACTCGAGGACTGTTGATGCTCGGAGACAATGGGTCCAATGTATCCGCCATGACTGCTGGCTTCGTCACTGGAAAATAGAAACATACAGTATAAGAACTTGAGAACATAGACATTAAATTTGTGCTTATCTACATTTAAACTAATAATACTATAAACTAACTAGCTGTTCCCATGCGACTTCATCCGCATAAAATTATAAAAATTCCATTTTATTGTTCACATTTGTCAAATTATCAATTGCAAATGTCAAAATGACATGACATCCTGTCCATCCATGGCAATCTTGCTTCCTTGATGTTGGCAACAACTTATGGTCTCTTTCCCACATTAGGGTTTTTCTCCCAAATATTTACCCCTAAGTTTAACGGCGTGAAAATATATAGCCTAAAGCGTGACATAAGTGTAGGGCATTTTATTAAAAAAAAAAGAGTTATTCGATAATATGCTGTGATTGCTGACATATTAAGCACCAAAGTGTGTATTTACGCTTTATTATAATAGTATAGATACCTACTAATATTATAAAGAGGAAAGATTTGTATTCTTGTATGTATTGAAATAACTCAAAAACTACTGGGCCGATTTTAAAAATTTTCACACCATTAGAAAGAAAATTTATCTGTAAGTAACATAGGTTATATTTTATTATTACTAATGTTTAAGAAGTATTAATAAACATGATTCTGGACCACGGCGTTAAAAAAAAAAATAACTTTTCTTAGCTTATGCAGCCTAAATCATTAGAGATATATAAAAATGATGTATGAAAGAATTGTAGATCTCAAAAATTTGTATAGAATAGTCTGCGATGGCATATTTTAATCTTTAACAGTTTTCTTACAATAACCACTATTTGTTTATTGGTTTAAAAATGTTTCCCGCATACATTCAGTAGCTACCGATATAATACAACTAGGTGTTGCATGTGACTTTTATTGTATGAATCTCAAAATGTTCTAATGTAAACTTTTGCATTAATATTAGGATATCACTTCACTATATTAAACAATTTTCACAATGTAACTAGAACATAAATAGAATAACTGAATTAAGAAAATACTAAAACCTTCATGACACTTTCTTAAGACTGAAAATATACTAGATACATAAAAAAGTACCAATCGAATCGAAAACCTCCTTTGTGAAGTTTTTTTTATTCATTTAAATAACATTATGTACAGACAGTTATCAGTTGTCAATATATTATCTTAAACGGGATTTACCCACTATCTATATTTACTAAACTCACTTAGAAATATATCACCCATAACTAAACTGCTTTGTAACACTAGTCCAATGTTACTGAGAGGAAATACTAACATAATTGTATTAAATTACCTTCAACACTTCTTGTTTACCTCATATCTCATTATGATTGCATGAATTATATAAACACTTACAATAGTCCATGACTTTTTTGCGCGTAACAAAACCTTAGTAAATAGCCTATGTTCTTCTAGATTGTTATACATTTATGCCAAATTTAATTAAGATCCGTTCAGCAATTTAGCCTAAATTCAAACATCCATCTAAACTTTCTCATTTATTATATTAGTATGATATTCATATTGTATTAATTACTACTTAATTGTCCACTTTACTAATGCGAATTTGGAATTTTTGATACATAACAGATAGCTTCTCTTTTCATAGAGTCCAGAAGATTACCAACACCATCCTAAGAGGGATAAGTGACAAGCCTAACTGCCTGATCATTGGACATTGGCTACATGCACACAGCTGACATTAGGTCATGTAATAATTAGATCTAGTGTTCAGGATATAAATATTTTGTCAATTAAAATATTCAGTTACGTGTAATTTATGTTACAAGTTTTTAAAAAAATAACTAAAATTACAGATGCACGTTTTTTTGCCAGAAATGTATCATTATATGTTCCAAGGAGAATGTTCGTTATGAATGTGAAAGAGTACATTGGTAGAGGTAGACCTAAAAAGAGATGGATGGATTGCGTAAAAGGTGACATGATCAAAAAGGTAGTGATGGCCATGATGATGTATGATAGGGTTATGTGGAGGACAAAAACCTGTTGCGCCGACCCTATGAGAGTAGGATATGGAGAAAGAAGATGAAATGTACTATTATGTTTGTTTTACATAAGATTTTCTTAATTTCACATGAGTAATTGTTTAATTTATTTTATGTATGTGTGACCTAATTACGTAATTAATAAATCTATGTTATAAATACAGCTGGCATATGACTCAGATTCACAAAAACTTTACAAAGAACAAAAGCAGATACATTACATTTTTATTTAACTACAGAATATTATGGACCAATTTTATTTACACTAAAACTAGCTGTCCACTTTTACTGCTTTGACATGGAATTAAAGAAAAAGTTAGTCTATGTGTTCCTTGATAGAATGCTCTACATCTATGTCAAATTTCAGGTGATATGTAGTAACAAACACCCATCCATCCAAACTTTTGCATTTATAATAGTAAAATATAAATTATAAATAATTTGGGTATTAGTTGACATTTTTAACAACATTCCATTTTAAATTAAAACTAAAATTAAGTCAGTTTAACATAATACATGGTAACTAACACTAATGCATATTCTTATGTGTAATACTGCAATTTTATGAAGTGTTCTTCTAGTAATCATTTGGAATTTTTAATACACATATTCAGGAATAGCAATCTGCTCTAGCTTTGCCTTAGTGACAAAGATTTTAACATCCCATACCCTTCTACAATTAAAAAGCCTATTTTACTCAATGACGGTTTAGCTTTCTAATGGCGAAAGCATTTTAAAAATTCACTCAGTAGGTATTCAACTATCAAACATTTCTTCCTTATATTAGTATAGACACCTATGCTATGTATTGTAATTTTTTTCAGTATAGAGAAAATAATATGACCAATGTAATGCAAAAAACGCCAAGATTGAACGTACATTTGTATACTAAGATCAATTTCCTCTTGTATAACATTTTGGCCTACATATTCATGGCTAAGCGTTCTAACAATGAAAAAATGCTGTATCAACAAAATTAGGCTTCCCACTTCAAATATGCGTCAGACATCCTGTATGCAAAAACCTTTGTTATAACAATATTGATAAACTTACCTTATATCAGAGTTATAAAAAATCGTCACACCAAAAACCAACACCGTTAATTTTTAGTCATAGTGTATCTTTGTTTTTGTTTGCAAAAAGTTTTGAAAACACCCAGAATGTATGTCAAGGGAAGAAACGAAATGACAATTTTCAATTCGACAAAAACAGTACGATTGACATTTGACAGTGACAACAGAAACGACTCTTTCGCAGATTATGTAACTTTTTGTAGTCTATGATTTTCTTCTATCCCCAAATATCCTCTATATTTGGCGATTTAAGGATTTGCAAAAAGAAATAGGGTAAACCAAGACAAACATCCATGTATGCAACGGGTAAGAGAGGAAGTGGCCGTAGTGTCGTATCAGGATCTCAATAGAATGGCACAAGAGGGGTAAGTCTGGAAGTTGTTCCACCGACAAGATAGACTTAAGAGATGGCCAAAATCTTATACGATTAAATAGAACATTTAATGATTCAGCTACAAAACCATTTTCAAATATTGACAAAAAATTAGATTATGAGGTTTCAGAGCAATAATTTACGGTCTATATGACTGTGACAAAGGAAAATGTAGGAATGGATTCAGGGAAATTAAAATAAAGCTTTACTTAGAAAACTTGTTTATTTGATGACCGACAATGGTTGCATTTTAAATGCTTGTGTAGAACCAAGCTTGAAACATTTGTTACCATACATTTTTCACTGGATTCAATTATGTATTTTTAATAGAAAATTACAAAGAGTGAAATTCACTGTTACTGTGTTTTAAACAAACACTTCAATTACTTATACTAACTTAATTAATTGGAATTACATTAACATTATATTCTATCTAGGGATTCTAACATTATGATGCTGTTCCCTCTGATTACCTGAAACAAAACAATAAAAAAATACTTCAAAACACTTTATTTGAATATATTTCTTACGGTGAAGGAAAACATTGTGATGAAAACTGCACATATTTGAGAAATTCAAAGATATGTTTGTCAACCCGCACTAGGCCAGTGTGGTTGACTAAGTCCTAGTCATCCCAACTGAGGGTAGGCTCCAAGCCCCTAAGTGGGGACATACAGAAAGCTGTTGAGGATGAATATAGTTTATACTACAAATATTTTTTATATTGAAAGTACTTGTCAGGTGTGACTGAATGTAACTCTACATCCTAACAAAGATTAATAGAACGCTATTGATGTTTTAATCAAACAGTTTTATATTTAAACTGTGCATTAAGTTTTTTTTGTATAAAACTGAAAAAAAAAAAATTCCGAAGTGTTGCCTACCTTTAGCCCAACATGCGATGGGATATACAGAGTCGATATTTTCCCTATCTATGCATCCCATGCAAAAGAAATAAATCATGAACGATAACAGTTTTAGGTATACAACATTAGAAAGAAAAAAAGACAGTATATGAAAAGTGAAAGATGAAAACATAATCTTGGACTTTTTTTCCTTTAAGATCTTTTTCCTATTAGTCTATGTAAAATGAGAATAAATGACATACAATGGTTTGCTATGGTCTGAAAAATTGTTATTGTAATATACTTATTTGTATACTTACAACCATTCCGATGTTATTCCTTTGTCCATCTTTACATTCTTCAACTGACTCATCTAAGACCAGGTTCATGAAAGGATCGAATCCTCGAAGGACACCAGTTACTGCTCGACCTGCGTTTAACTTTATAGACAATTTCTTGTCCATGAACCTTAAAGAAAACATTAAAACATTCTGATGAATGAAAAAAATATATAAACAAGGAAACAACAATTTGCAGGTTATTTTTATGCGTCCATACCGCCAATTTATAAAACATTAATATTCATAAAAGTGTGCTTACTTCTTCAATTCTGGTGGGTGAGCCTTCGACATTTTGAATTATTGAATGTGTTTAGTTAACTTGTTAAATAAAATAAAACAAGACGCTTCGCTAGGCCGGTAATAGAATAAAAATCTATCAGATTTCGAGAAATGCCATCTGCCATAACCACCATAGGTAAAAAATATGTCAAAAGAGTTTTTGAACGTGCCTTAATTGTTCAACATTTAATATTAAGCAAAACAACACCTAACAGACTATTTGATATTTTTTATATAAAGTAACACAACTATTCCAAAATTCAACGATATGAAAAGTTAAAACATATTTTGAATTTCTGAAATCTCAAGGATAATAAATGCTCGGTCGTCAAAACTGATTTAGTTTCTGAACGTATATTGTTTCAGGTGCTTTCAGTGTTGCTGTATAGAATTATGATTGAACCAGATGGATCTCCTAAAATCTTTAAAAAAGACTGAAAATATTCATTACAAGGCTAAATCGTAACATTCTTTGACAATTAATAGTTGAAACGCAAATGAGCCCTAATCTATAAAGGAATTCGCTTAATTTAAAAAACTTCGTAAAATTACCATTGATAAAAAAATTAAATAAAAATAATGCGGCAATATTAGATAGTACACTACTGCCATCTGTTGCTCGAATAAATGAATAGGTATGTAATTTAGTAGCATAATCAATACTAATATGAGATACGTATGTCTATGCTAGCAATCAACAATAGCAACAAGTAGACAGCTGGGAGGATGGATGCTGTAAAGATACCCATCCTATTCGCATATAAACAGTCACGTTTTGTTTTCTAAATATGGTACTTTAATATTTTTATGTAACATACGATAATAGTGGAATAGTTAGTGTTTGTGCATTTGGAATAAAATGGATGAATCCGGTATCGATATGGGATTCGATCTCGCCTCCTTCTTGTCAAACGACTATCATGCTGACCACATCTTGGATGAGATGACAGCAGCACAGCATCAGGACTTCATGTACTACGAGCTGAAGTCGAAAGCGGTGCCAGTGACAGAAAGGTGAGTGGCGCCTTCAATTAGCACGTGATAAAGTTTTAACATGATTTATTACGAATATTTTTAGCACATATTCATGTACGAGGAACAATTTCACCAAAGCCGAAGCGCTCGCGACCCTGAAAACTTGACTTGGCAAAGCCCCCAGATTTGCTATGTTTACTTCCATTTGCTGTACTAAATATTTCGCGAGCATTCCTGTCTGTTTTTTAGGCGAGTGATCACTTTCTCATTTCCTTAAGATTATTTACACATTTAAACAACAAAATACACATATTTTGATTTGTAATTAAATATTGTATGACATTGAGAAATAAACAAATGAAACAAATGAAACAAAATTTTTCCCGCCTTTATTTTAAATACTCGGAAATGTCATATTTTTAATTAAACTACAATATCAAATGATTTGTTACAACAAAACGTGTGATTTGAAGAGGATTTGTTGATATTGTGGAATACAACGACTACTTTCAAAATTGACCCCGTTTTATTTATTTGAAAGCGACGCGAGTGGAATTTAGTATGAACCTTTAAAACGTAGTAAAGGCACTAAATATAACCTAACCATACCTGACACGGAACTCTTCGTTTATAATTTGAAATTAGAATTCATTCATTGTTACTTTTTTTATAATCAACCAGTTCTGATAGTTACTCTTTGAAATGTTAGCAAACTGTATTCTTTTTTGTTTTAAAATTTAAATTGTAATTGTTTGTTCTTTGCTAACCTTTAATAAGAGTGCATAAAAATCAAAAAGTGTTTATAGACTTCAAAAAAGCGTACGATAGGTTACCGACAGGAGTTCGATGAGCTCTGAAACTGGCAAAAAACTAACATTACCCATCAATAAGTCTGGCAAAAAAATTGAGGTCAATGACCTTTAATAATCTATGTTACTTAATTTGTCAATAATTCTTCAATGTATGTTATCACAACAACTTTAAAAAGATACATTATCTTTAGTAGATTTATCTATTTAAAGTATAAAAATATCGAGATACATAAGATAAAATGAATTTATTCCAAAACAAACCCATCACTTTTTTAAAGATGTACTCAATGCCTATTTTTTAAAATGAAACATTCGCGTAAAATTTTCCTTACTGCCTACTCTTATTTCGTTTATGAGACATATACGTAAGACTGGACTAATCTGGAATCAAGGCAGTAAGACTACTGTCTAGACTTTCTAAATACGAGTGCTACAAGTTTAGATCGCATTAAATTTTTATAAATCTAGAACAAACAAAAGGCGTGTATTTACTCTGTGGCAGGTTAATTAATAACCGTGCTGTGTGAACTGGCTGGAATTACGTTCGTTGTTCGCCAATTGTTTTTTTAATATCCATAGACAACGGTAATTCAATGCATATTCTCGTCTTGTCTATGATTTACTCGACTGAGAAAGGGGTAATGCTTTTTTTTATTGTTTTATTACGATCTGTGTATCTAGAAGTATTTAAACAAAAAGCAGTGTTTCGATATTGTGTAAAAAACAAACTTTTTAATAAAAAAACAAAACCGACTTCCAAACAAAATATACTAAAATCAAAATATTCTCAAAAACAGTCTACTAAAAAGTAACGATATAATTCCTTGAAAATAGTAAACCTACCTTATTGTAACTGTTATGTCTATATTGTACAATTATTAGTACTAATATTATAAAGACGAAAACTTTGTATTTTTGTATGTATTGAAATAACTCAAAAACCACTGGGTTGATTTTAAAAATTCTTTCACCATCAGAAAGGTAATTTATCTGTGAGTAACATAGGCTATATTTTATTACTACTAATGTTTAGGAACTATTAATAAACATCGTGTTTCTGGACGCCGGCGTTAAAAAATAACTAAACTTTAACTTTTCTCGGCTTACGCTGCCTAAACCGTTAGTCATATATAATAACTAGCTGTTCCCGTGCGACTTCATCCGCATAAAATTATGAAAATTTAATTTTATTGTTTACATGTTTCAAATTATCAATTGCAAATGTCAAAAGGATATGACGATGACAAACTTTGGCAACCTTACTTCCTTGATGTTGGCAGCAACTTATGGTCTCTTTCCCACATTAGGGTTTTTAACAAAAATATTTACTTCCTAAGTTTAATGGCGTGAAAATATATAGCATAAAGCGTGACGTAAATGTAGGGCTTTTTATTAAAAAATGATTTATTCAAAAATATGCTGTAATTGCTGACATCTTAGGCAACAAAGAGGGTGTTTACGCTTTATTATAACAGTATAGATTAAGAATTTTAAAGTAGTGTGTTAGTCGTTTTTTTATTACAGTTATTTATTTAAATTCCAATAAACATGAGTTAAGACATTCATCTCCAATCAAATCAGTAAATGCACAGTACTAATGGTCTCCTTATCTTACCGTTATACAACATAAGTCAAACATTGATATCGCTTTAAACAATTAAAAGAATTGTTTAAACATAAAGAAGTTCTTGTTAGATGAAGTAAATACATTTGGCGATATTAGTCAAAATATGTCTTGGTATTGATTCGATGAAAAGGTTTTACGATGACCCATAAAAGATAATTCGTGCCTTGTTCTTTAAATCTACACTATTATAATAAAGCGTAAACACACACTTCTTTGTTGCCTAAGATGTCAGCAATTACAGCATATTTTTGAATAATCCTTTTTTAAATAATAAAACCCTACACTTACGTTACGCTCTAGGCTATATATTTTCACGCCATTAAACTTAGGGGGTAAATATTTCGAATAAAAATCCTTATGTGGGGAAGGTATCATAAACTACAAGCTGCCAACAGTAATGAAGCAGGGTTATTATAGTAACGGTAATTTTTACATTTACAAATGAGAATTTGACAAATGTAAACAATAAAATAAAGTTTTTATAATTCCACGCGGATGAAGCCGCACGGAAACAGTGGTGAATAAAACTAGTAAAAAATTGCCTCACGGTTTTTTAACACATTGAATTTAGTTCTACAATCATTCAAAACATTTTGAGCACATCTTTGTCTAAACAATCGCACAACTGTTGTGCGATTGTCGATTGTTTCGCAGCCAATTCAACTGTTTAGTTGCACAACTAAAAATCGAGTAGTGTAACCTCCATAAGCTCATAGAAATCAAATCGAGTAAACAGTTGTGCGATAGTTCAGTCAAACGTGTGCGCTCTTAGTCGTACGGAAAACTCGCTAATGACATAACAGTTCTGTCAGTCAAACAAAAAACTTGGCATTGAATCAAAACAACTTGTATACAGACAGAATTTCTCTGAAATCAAGTCTATTAGTATTGCAAAAGCCGGAATTATGCTTTAACTGCTTTCATATTACGGAATCAAGTTTAAAGATGGATGGATAGCTTGAAAGGGATCAAGAAGGGAATGACAGATGACGGAAGATAGGTTAACATGGAGGACGAATACTTTGTTAGCCCCTTTGGTATATACGGTCCATCAAACGAAGAGCGTCAGTGCCTCAGGGATTCAAGCATTTAATAATAATCTATAGATCCTGCGTTCGAATCCTGACATGTATCAATGTGATTCGAATTACATCATCATCATTATCATCTCCCCTGCCTTATCCTACTCCCGTAGGGTCGGCTCACCGGGTTTTCGTCCTCCAAAGTACTCTATCATCCGTCATCTCAGTCATCACTCCCTTCTTGATCATGTCACCTTTCACGTAATCCATCCATCTCTTTCTAGGTCGATAGATAGGTAGGGTGATTCGAATTACATATAAACATATATACCTGACGTTCTTACAGTGCAGGAAAACATCGTAATGCAATCTGCATATGTCGGCGAAAATTCAAAGATATATGTGAAGTCTACCAACACGCCGCGCCAGCGTAGTTGTCTATGTCACCCCTCAGGGTATATACGATTCACACAACACAATTGTTGGTTTCCATTGGTATTAAGTGAACGTGTTCATTCACACTGTCCTACACCCATGAGCGAATATGATATCCTTCGCCATTGTTATTTAAAAACAAAGATATTTAACATTTCTCAGTACTCAGATGACATCATTTGATATGTTCTTGCATAAACATTTCAGAATATGGAATCGATTCTTGATCTATTTAGCGAGCGTTCGCACGGACGCGAAAACGCTAGGCGGTAACTATGTGTCAAAATAGAACGTATGGGATTGTATGAAGCTGTTCATAC